TTTGGCACTGTGATGCCAAGGTGCCCGTGGCTCTTTTGGCAGCCTTGTGCCATCATGCCAGCCACCATCTCTGATCCACGGGCACTATCACTCACTGAGTGACCGGTCCATTTCCTGCTGGGTCTGTGCAAGGGCCCGGCTGTGGGGACAGCCACGTCCCTGATGCTTTCCTGCAGGGTCCCTGACTGAACTGGCTGTTCTCTCTTCTCTGTTAGAGCACCTTGGGAGCTGAAGCCTGGGGAACCCCGGCTCTGGCACAGCATTTCCCATCCTGGCTGTGCCTTTGCTCTCTGCTTGTGCGTGGTTGTTTCCTGCTCTGTGTTCGTGTCGCTGATGCCCTCTGCAGTGAGGCTGTGATCTGGTCAGGGCTGTGAAATACGTGGGGAATGCAAATAACAGTGCATCCAACGCTCGGCTTGCTGCCATGCTCTCGGGATGCCTCGCTGTGGATGGAGCTACTGTGGGTAATTAGCTCAGGAAAGGTCTTTGCCCTTTCCAGCTATACCAACAGGTTTTATCCTGCCTTCTTTAGAGATGGGAGAGCCCACAAGGATTCAGAGCTTGTCCTAGAAAGGCTCTTTGTGCTGTGAATGCTTCCAGCTTCCACAACACTTCCACAGTGTTCAAGAAGCAGCCTCCTGGGATTTGCTCAGTCTCAAACATCTGAAAATTATTTGGGGCAACTTCTTTGGCTCTTCAGGCTCTTTGCCTTCCTCAGCTAAAATCTGTGTCCCCAGTGAGGGCAGCGATGCTGGGTGTTTTAGGTCTCTCTGTCAGGTGGCTGAGAGGTTGTGTTATCCCTGTCAGAGACCTGCAATTGCTTAATGAGTGGATGTGGTTTATGCTCCCTGATGGAAAAATCGCTTTATATAACCTCCTGTCCAAAAGGAAAGGGAATAAAAAATTCTGAGCTAGTAAACTTTACTGCCAGCAAGATGTGGGGCCTGTTACAGCCTATTCTCCTCTTCTTTAAATGTAAATTTTCTGGATGCCCTAAAGAGCCAATTTGCACTTTACTGCAGTGCAATGCTTTTCTCCTTAGGGTCTGGGTCAGGCTCAAGGAGATTTAAGAGGGCACCAGCTGGATTTTTAGGCTGCCAATTTCATCAGCCTGAAGCTTGTTATAATCTGTTGGAGAACATCTTTCAGGTCCATATATCTCTTCCTTCCATATCCTCCCATTTGCAGAAGGATTTGAATGAAAAACAACCCACCACTGGAAAAACAGGAGCTATTTTTCATGTGCATGGCCCAACCTGCATCCAGGTTTTTTGTCCAGATACTCACCTATAAAATCACACTCTAAAATCCTCTGATCTTGTCCATCGTCTTTTGGCTTTATTGGAGCAGGACTGGAGTGGTTATCCTTGGTGGTGATTATGCTGCTGATTCAGGCTATGTTATGCTGGGAATGAACACAGTAAATCAGAAGGGGGCAAATTTGTGCTGATGTGAGGCAATCTGCAGGTGGATGTTGTGCTGTTGGTGTGATGAGGAAGGAGCTGGTGCTACCTCGGTCTCCCCAGCAGTGCTCCCAATGATGCTGCACCAGGAAAAGCGGGGTGGACCCAATATCTCCATTTGCTCCCACAATATCTCGCTTTGCCACAAGCTCAGAGCGGGCCGTTGGCAGCTTATTTCATCCCTCTGTGATTAATGTTCCCTGTCTAGAACAGGAGTAATAATACAGGCTTCATCTGTCGGGACTGTGTGCTCCCAGGGCAGAGATGGCCCTGCTGGCTGCAGGTCTGGACAGGGTCCAGGAGGATGAGCCAGGATGTGACTGAGGTCCTTGGCGATGGATGTCACCGCTAATTAGAGCGGTGAGATTAGTCACTGAAGCACAGGAGGGAAAGCCAAAATCGTGTTTCCCAAATGGAAAAGGACAATACAGGGGTGTAAGCAAGTTCTTTTGAGGCCCTGAATGTGAATCACAGTGTCAAGTAAAAAATAATTAAACTTATTTTTCTTTTAAATGTACTTCAAAGTGTCTTTTAAGCTTCCCATTAATTCGAAGTTCTTTCTCTCAGTGCTAAATAAATCTCTTGGTTCAAAAGCACAAGTGCTAATTGGTTTCTCTGAGTATGCCTGTCTGCTTGATCAATAGGGGAAGTAGTTTTTGTTAAATATTTGCACATATAGTCACATATTATATTGCTCAGGGAGATGGTAAATGTTTCACAAAAGGAGACTTGTAGAATGAGGATTCCAGTAATTTTCTTGTGGCCTTTATGTCAGAGCTAATCACGCTTCCTCTCTCCGTCCCTTTGCAGAAAACAAGGCAGTTTTCCCTCGCACGCTGCCGGCGTCGAGACAAGCGGGCTGTTCAGCTGCCTGCCTGACACCCTGGCTCCAACTGCAAACTCGAGCTGCCACGAGCAGAGTTGTACAGTTCCTGCCTCGAGCAGGGAGTGGCTGTGAGCCATGCTGCCTCACAGTCCGTTTTGGGAGGTACCTGGGATGTTGTGTGAGATTAGCGGGGTTTGGATACACAGCCAGCTGTTGGAGAGGGATGGGGCTTTCAGACTCCCTGAGTGAATGTGCACAGCCTCAGCAGTTTCCTTGCTATCTCTCAATTAATTGCACTTTTACTATTTCCATGGGCCTTTTGAGTGTCGTTTACTTCTAACTTGGCAGCATCGTTTCCGTGCCTCACTGCTAACTGCAATCAGTTCTTTATGCTGATGGAATGGATCCCTCTCTCCCACTGTTGCCTCCTTATCCTGTCTGTGCTCTCCCTCTGGCTCCTCTGAGCTGACCTCTAGAGCAAACACCAGGAACCTTCTTGTCCCACCATGGAGATTCCTCTGGGAGTGTCTGTCCCTTTGTCTCTCGTCCTGAGCATCTCGGGAAAAGAGGAATCTGGGTTCAAAGGCTGCCTTTGAGACAGGTGAGAGACAGAGCTTGGCTTCTCCCAGATCCCCAGGTGGGGTGAACTAGCTTCTCCCCATGCCTGTGGTTAGTTGGTCACCCTGAAACTCCAGGAAGGAGGCAGCAGGATTTCTTCAAGGTCTAATAAGCATCCCTTAAGAAAAACCTGAGTTGAGTTGGAATTTGGATGCTTCTGGACACTGCAAGGTGTCTTCAGGTTACAAACCAGTTACACAGTGTCACACCTCAAGGCACAGTCCTGCTCTTGAGTGCAGCCCAAGGAGACCCCAGGACCAGTGTCTGTCCCCACTCCTGCAAGTGTCTGAGGACCCCAGTCCTAATTTACCAGCGTCATCACTTCTGCAGTTTGAGCAGCCTGGAGTGAGCATGCAGACCGAATGTTTATGGAGGCAAACATGATTATCTCCAATCACAGGCCTTAATGATGGTTGTTATAATGACAGCAATTGTAGGAAGGGCATGTAATTATGTTGATTCTTCCTTTTATTGTACATATAATAATAAGCTGTTTTATCTAAGAGTACAGGGGTGCTGGGGGAAGATGGGGCATTTATTTAATTACGGATTTTTTTCTGATTGTGCGTTAGGCTAAATCCTGAAATCTTCAATCTTTCTGGAGTCAGAAGTCCCTCTTGGCTCAGTATCAGGATGCGAGGGTTCTTATCCTACCTAACTCACCAGAGCACCCACGCAGGGAATGGGGCCCCAGCATGGTGTTGAGACTCTGGCCACTTTACAGAAAAATGCAGAGCATTCATCTAATTCCTTAATTTTCACCAAAAAAAAGTAATTGATGGTTTTGTGCTAGCTGCAGTCTGACTTGCTGAGAGGACCCCAGGGCTATCTCATAAAAAAGGAGTCACAGTGAGCGATAGATCATTGAGATGGCTGCAGCTAGCCTGACATTTTAAGACTTAATGGGTTAATAAAGTGTGTGTTTTAGGTGCCTGTCACTAAGTGGGGTTTGTCCATTCCTTGCACACACTCATACCTTGTTGGCAGTACCTTTGGCCTGGCCCTGCAGTACCACTGCTTTGTCTGCTCTGTCCATCTGCCTCGGCTCAGGTTGCACTCAATGTTTATCCCCCGTAATCCAATTTAAGTTGCTGTAGAAATCAGTGGGGATTTACAGAAAGAAAGAAAAAAATCTCACTGGGTTTGCAGAGCAGAAAAGACAGACTTTTTTTTCTTCTCTTTCTTTAGTGTAATTGCCTCTTCTCATCTCTGTTATTCTTACCGTGCATTAACAGTCTGCCCTCCACCCTGCTTTTGAGCCTGATGTGGGGGGATTCTGTCCTTGGTGGGGTCTCTATGAGGGACAGGCATTACAAAGCTTGTGCTGTGACTAGTGTTTGCCAAGAGATATTGCTTGTGTGCATCCCAGTTCTGTAAGCATCTGTGAAGCTGAGCCTGTGAAAGAGGAAAGAAGCTGTATCACAGGTTGGGAAACCATCCCTTGAAGGGCCAATGCACAAGTTAGAAAGGCTTTCTCTGTATTTGGATGAAACTGTAGTTTTCTTATTCTGATGGAATTTCTTCACTACTTCTCTTCTTTAAAAAAACCCACTTCACCTCCATCCCTGCATTTACAGCCTTCAAATATCTATGTAATTCCTGTTTCTTGGTCTCTTTTTGTCTTTCATGTCTGCATATATTTTGGCCAATCTTTAAGCAATAGTTCTATTTCTGTCATCTTCTGTAGTGTCTGATCATGACTGTAGGGCAAATTATATCCTCAAAAGGTGTGCTGTGACCAAGTGAAGCATAACATGCCAAAGACACAGCATTCTGTTAGCAAAAAAAGTAAATTAGGACATATCTGTGTGATGGGAAGTGAGGGTTTGCCTATTGTTGGTACAAATTCTGCAATAACTTATCTCTCGTGGACATCGTTTAGCGTAATTGCTTTGCAAGAAACCTTTTGTGTGGCTGAGCCGGAACATTGTGCATTTGTATTTCGGTGCTTAACTTGCTCTTCATTAAGGGCTGAATAGCACCATGCTTTGCCTGTTACAGCATGAGAGAGACCAAAGTGACAGAAGGGCACGGTGTTGCGTGCGAGAGGCAAACAGCCTCCTGCTCTGCCAAGCGGGAGAAGTGTCGGGAAGATGCCGGTGGCAATATGGTCTGAATCGGGAGCTGCTGATCTCCCCTTCACCCTCGCCGGCTGTGCTGCAAACGGGCCTGGGGCATGGCACAGCCCCTCTGCCTGGTTATGTGGGGAGAGGAATGGCTTTCCAGCACTGGTGTGCACTTCTGCTCCTGGGCTGGGAATGGCTGACGCCCTATGATTGTGCATGGTTTTAATTGTCTAATGCTGCACACCTGCAATGGGAGGGAGGTGAAGAGGCAATCTTCAGGGGAGCATGGAGTGGAGCTAGGGTTTGGCAAGGTGCTGAAGGGGTGTGCCTGCGTGTCCCCTTCACTGGAGCCTCCAAAGGCAGCCTTGAAGGACTTTGCCTGTGGTTGTGCTTTAAGAAATTGCACCCCGAAGTTCAGAGAGTAAAGTCTTGGGAGGAAAAGCGTCTCCATGGGTTTTGGGAATCTCTGAAACACTTTGCTACTTTGTAGCACTTCCAAAATGTTTCCATCATCCCCTGTTTCCTGTCGCAGCAGTTGACTCTTGCTGCTGCTCCTGGACATGGTGCTGACTCTGCCCTACTCTCTTTGATTTAGATTTTGGTCGTTCCTCCGAGCTGGCATTCGTTGTGGAGCCCAGTGATGACATCGTTGTGCAGGAGCAACCCTTGATCCTCTACTGCCAGGTGGAGGGCATCCAGCCCATCACCATCACGTGGCGGAAGAATGGCGTGATGATCGTGGACAGTGAGAACGCCTTTATGTTGGCCAACGGGTCTCTCTACGTCTCCCGCTTCCAGAGGGTCCGGGGAGATGGGTCCTCGGATGAAGGCGAGTACGACTGCATGGCACAGAACCACTACGGGCTGGTGGTGAGCCGGAAGGCAAAGATTCAGGCAGCGAGTAAGTACAGGCACTGTCCCACCCCCTCCTCACAGGGCAACCCCACAAACGGCACTGGCTTTGTTGGGAAGCAGGAGGGCAGCATGGTGGGTGCTGGGTTTTCATGGAGGGGGGATTAAAGAGAGGGAAGAGAGGAAAAACCCTGGAGCTGGTGTTGAAATCTGGCTGGCATCTTATCTGTGTAGCTGCCCAATTGTGAAAGGAGAGCTCATCAGCTTTCTTGGGTAGAAAACTAAAAACTACTTTCTAACAGCAAATTCTCTGTGTTGGAGTTGTAAGTTACATTAAAATCATGTGGTGAAGTAGTCTGTGGTTTGTGTATCTCCTGCAGTGAGTTTGGACACCTCTTTGCTGTGCAGCACAGCTGGGCTCTGCTTGGCAAGCAGCACTTCCCAAACCATAGGCAGAGACCTCCTGAAGGTCATGGTATCTTTCATTTTGTTATTTAATGCTGGCAGTGTAGAGGCAGCAAGGTCTTATTTACTACCCGACGTGGCAGTGCCTTTGGGGGCAAGGCTAACAACACCAGACAGATTGTCTGATGGGGGAGCCTGGAGGAGGAGAGAGATGAAAATGCCAGTGAGGGAATGAAATTTAAAGGTGGGGGAGGAAGAATTCCAGGGCAGGCTGTGACTCCAGCTCTGCACGCTCCCTGACATTAGCCTGCTGCTTTGCCCTGACCAGAGCGGTTGGTTCTGTTGGATCCCCTGGTTCTCCCTTGTCACCTCTGGCTGCAGGTTGGTCTTTGTCCCAGGACTGATGGCAGAGCTGGGGGGTGCATGGTGGCTTCTGTCCCTGTTGTGTTGTTGGCCTGCTTTTCCCACAGACTGTCTGGGGGCTCTGGGAGTGCAGCCACTGATCCTTTTTGCATTCAGCCAGAAGCTGCTGCTGGATGTAGTTTCTGTGTGAGTGTGAGGATGGGTATGGCTGCGAGACCTGACATAGCACTGGTTTGTTAAGTTTTGCTGAAGGGTTCTTCAGCTTGTCTGGGAGACAGTTACTGCTCTTCTTTCTGTGCAAGCCACTAACGAATGGTTCCATTGCAATTGCAAATATTTTTTTGGTGATTTTTTGATACAAAGCAGGAAAAGTCTAAGGCAAGGTCTGGGGCTGAGGTCTTGTCTGCATTTCCCAAACTGGGGGGCCTTTTGGAACGCTGCCGCCTGCTCCCTGCAGTGCCAGGGCCGGCTGGCAGCCCACCAAGGGAACACTCCAGCCCTCGTGTATAACAATTCCCGAGTGCATGAAGTGGCCATCTGCAAACCTAGCTTTTCAGGAGTGTAAGAAGTGACATTGTCCAGGAGCCAAGGGCTTTGGGGCCATGCCAGATTAGCAGCTGGATCTCAAACTTGTCAGTCTTGTGGTGCTAAACCTTGGAGCACTTTTGGTGAATGGCTCTGGCATTTATGAGCTGGAAGCCGACTCATGCACGAGCACAATGCCAAACTTCTTGGACCTGTAAACTGGAGACATGAGAGCCAGAGGAATTACCTTTGAGATTGTGGATTGTCAATAAACACTGTTATCTTGGCTTCTGCATCAATATGTATGTGATGTGCTGTGTGTCCCCTGAATAGCATTTCCTTTTGTAGCCGTAGTTTCACATGAATCAAAATGAAAAAGGGATCGTGTTGAAAATGCTCTGGGCTCAATTCTGGCTTCAGGCTTGGTTTGTTGCCAGCCCTGAGAAGAGGTCTGGGTGAAACCAGCATAAATACAGGGCCCCCCCGGCCTTGATGCCACAGGTGTCTGCAGATAATGGGAATAGAACATGATGTTGTGGGCAAATGTAACCTGCTGCTCAGGGCAAGCTCCCCCGCTGTGCCTGAGCCGCAGGAACACACACTTGCACTTAGGACTCTGTTTAATCGCTGATGAAATCTCCTGAGAATGAATCACAGTTGTACCCTGAGCCCCCAAGTCTCAGGGTGGTTACACACAAGAGATAGTGATTTTCCTTGCTCCAAGTCCCAATCAGCAAGTCAAAGGAGAAGGGTAATTATCCCCATTTTAGGGACCTTTGCATTGAAGGAATGGGTGCTGGCTGCCTGGAAGGGAAAAAAACCCAAGTGCTAAGCAGACCTTTGCGGAGCTGAGTAAATACTGCCGGTGGGTAAAACCTCATCCCAGTGCTGATCTCTTCTTCCCTCTGAGCCTGACATCTGAACACAAAAGCAAAGGAGAAATAAAAACCTTTCACAAACAAAAATCTTGAAAGTTGATCAAGGCCGTGCTACTGAGGAATAAAAGAGATCTGACAGAGCGGAGCCCCTCGAGAGCTCTGTTGCACTTTTCGCTGTCTTCAAAGGCAGGCTGTTAGTCTCGTATCACTGTTACAGACCCTGGCTTTGTATTATTGCTTGGAATATAATCTTCTTGGCTCAGAGGAATGTACATATTTGCATTCAGGAAATGTGGGCTGGATATCATATTTTTATGTTTCAAATTTACTTCAACACTTGGCATTGAGTAAAATTTAACTGGAAGAATATGCTGCTCTCAGCCGCTGCGCGTGCGGCCCTGATGGGCTCAAGGTGCTGGCAATTTCCTCACCAAGCGGGTGCATCTTAAACCCTTCCTCCTAAAAATTAACTCATTAAATTTATTTCATTAAACCTGGGGTTTCTGTATTTTGCCATTATTAATCCAAGATACTCAGTGGAAGGAGGCAGACCTTGGCTGGTTTGTGGACTGGCTGGTCAGGCAGCAAAAACATTGGTAATATTTTTGAAGTGAAACTTTCTTTTGAACAAGCAGAAGTGTGCAAGAAGCCTATGTGTGACTGAGCTGAGTGGGGAGGCCCTCAGCATTTCTATCCTCTGCCTAACACCCCGGCTGGAATTCTTTCAGTTGCTGTTTCTGTCTGTTCAAACCCTGGTGTGTTAGTTTAAAAGGTTGTGGAATGCAACATGTTTTTATAATCTCAACAGGTTATTGAATACAGATCTTTTCTGTCTCCCAGTGACAGTTTCATAGTTTTGCATGACTCCGAGCTGTCTTAATTAAAATCAGTTTCATAGTCAGTGTTCTCTGGAGGCACCACTTGGCCGTGTTTTCACAGGTCTCTGAGGAGCTGGAGTTCTCCTGTGCAGCCAGAAGCTGAACATGCTTTGGCTCTCTGTGGCTGAAGGTACCTTCTGAGCAATTGTAACATCCACAGTCCACTCCTCAGGAGGGTGGCCTCTCCAGAATGCAGCCACCTTTCTTCTCATCACCACTCTTTGCTTAACTTGGCCTCATTTGCTCTGATCGTGTCATCTCGTGGCATTTCCAGCCTTTTTTGCCAATGCTGTAATTTGATGGACCTGGCTCCACATCATCATAAATCACAGCCCAGCCAGTGGAGTAAGACCCATTGATTATATCACTCAATAACAAGCAGTTACCACTAATTGGAAATCACCATCAAACTGGGTATCGAGTCGGGCTCTGCACGTATCCAGCCTGAGAGTAGCAATTTTCCCTGTTTGTGAGAAGAAAAAAAATAAAAAAATAAAAAAAGGAAAGAGGAAAATTAAGTCAGTGGTGCAATTTAGAGCCAAAGTGATTTCTTGAAGTTTGGTGAATTGGACCTGCCCAGTATTTGAAGTACTGTAGGACCTGATAATAACTCTGGACAGATCTGAGCTTGTAAAGACATTTTCTTCACTATGTCTTGCTGCAGGGTGGACTGGTTTGTAGTTAAGCATAGCAGCACACATCCCTGTGCCCTTCTCTTCTTCCTGACCCCCTTTCGTTCTGCATCCTATCCCAAATTCTACTCCTCCATCCCACTGTGTGTGGCTGTCCATGGCACTTACCCTGCCAGCAGGAGGGCAGGATTGATAGCCTGGGCAAGGCAGATGTTGTGACTCCTCTCTGCATTGATCCCTGCAGACAGCAGCAGCAACTCCCCTTGCCCAGCCTGGGGACAAGCATGCTGTCCCCACAAATACATTGGCCACTGTGACCTCGAGGCCAAAGGTTCTTCAGGTCATCAGCAAGACAGAGAAGTGGGGAGGGCTGGTGCAAACTTGCAAGTTGGTTTCCCTAATAAGTTCTGTGGCTAGGGGAGGGGATAGGGAATTACAGGGATTTTAAAGCAGCAAAGATCTTCCCATCGTTTCAGCTCCTCTGCACAGAATATATTCAGGGTTTAACCTGCAGCCCCCTTTCCAGGCTCTGGGGTGGTGGGAAGAGCTGCTGAGCCCAAATAATGGCAGCATTTATAAGAGTGTAGAGACAAGAAGGAAGTCTAAAAGGATTAGGGAGAGACAAAGGGGGCTGATTATTTTATGGGTCACAATACAAGGCATTAGAGTGAGATCACAAAGGGATGTAATTACAAAAGAAGGCCATACTGGGGGGGATCAAACCAGGATTAGAGTGGGAAATGTTTTTACACAGTTTTGTTCCACTCATTATGAAGTTAGCATTTTAAATTAAGGCTTAAATAAGGTGGCACCAAAGTTGTCACCAAGGTATTTCCTGGGCAATGCCACTGTTTGGATGCAGATTGAGAGTCTCAGCTCAAAACGTCAAGGCAGACCTTCAACACGTGGGTTTGCTGTTTGTTTCTCTTGTGCTTGTACAATATTGGTGTTGTCAGCAGAATCCTACCTATGGCTTGTGCTTAGGACAAGTTAACTTGTTTTTGCAGTTGGAGGTGGGATACTTTTGTGACTCCTTGTTTTACTGGTGCAGAATGTGCTGAAGGTAAAGGTCTGCCCTGGTGTCAGTTACAGCTCTGGAGGCATCTTCCTTTTACTCCCAGGAATTTTTTTGCTAATGGTCATTTGAATTTTATTGCAGTTTAACTCTTGGTGTTACGTGCCAAGTTTCCTTCATCCATAAATGAGATTTTTTGCCCCATGATGTGCCTCTGCTCGTATTTATTGCCCTTTCTTCAATGCTTAGCAGAAAGGCTCAGCCCTGATGCCAGTGATGTTTCTATATTGTCTGTGCTTTGAGTGCTTATGGCAAGCCCAGAGCAAATTCTGGGCTTGCAGCAGTTGGTCTCA